CTCTGCCCCGGTACGAGTTGTGTCGAGCTATTCATTAGTCTGTTTGATGAGAAAAATATGAAATGTAGTTGCAATAAAATGGGTTATTAATCCATACAACTGCAGCAGTGGAGGACTATTATTCGTGATACTGCAGAAGAACTGATGACGGCACGGTTTGATCTTCGGCTGACCAATCAGCAGAAAGGGTGTTTAATTCCCGCCCACATGTAGAAATAGAGTATTCAAGCCGTTTATTCATTTTTCCACCCATGAACGAAAAACGAAAATTTAAGCTGAATTCTCGTTTTTTAGTTTTTTGGAAAAAGGAGCCGTTTTCTCATTTTTCTACTTTCAATATTAAATCAAAAAATGAATGATCGAATGATACACGGATTTTTGGTTCTTAAAGATTTTAATATCATTCATTTATGATAATCAGACCTCTTTATAATTATTAATATTATGACATTCTGAGTTACAGCTTTTTTGTAAGCAATTTGTTGTTGTATTCTGCAGCACATCTTGAGTGCCCAACATAGAGAAGTTGTACGAGCTGCTAGAGCTAATGTTTCTTCTGGAAGTATGTTAGAGAGATTCCTCCAGGATGTGCTTCAGCATCATCCTCATCAATACAGTGATACACGGTATTCTACCCACATTAGATTTCTTATAGCCTTGTTGACATGTTCCTATAACTAGGGCTGGGTATCGAGTTAGATACTTTTTAGGCACCGACCGAATTGCCTCGATACCATCGAGTATCGAAAAATGTCTTGTCATTCGGTACCAAATTTTGATACCTAAGGGGTTAATCTCATCAAAATCAGTAAGGCAATAAGCATACAGCATGCTTTATGTGCCTAAATCAGTGATTGGTTCTGGCGAGGCATCAAGTAAAACGCATGTTACGTGACCATTCATTCATACTGTAGGATCATGCTACATAAGACAATTTATAAAATTTATACTATGATTTTACTCAAAACTCACTTTAAACCACCATTGAGTGTTTGTAATAACTTCCAATTACGATCTAATGAGGATTTTGGTCATATAATGTTGCAGAAATATGTTATTTGTTGCCTTTTATATCAAGCTAATCGCTACATCTGCTTAGAGTTTACATTTACAATTACATGTATTCATTTAGCATAAGTATCGCTTTTTATTTCTCCTCTTTCCTACTACTTGTTTCAAAGACCAATAGGGATAAAGAGGGGAGCGACTCCATTACAGCTTCCCGGGCCCCACCAGCTGCAAAGTGCATTACCTCGAAGGACCAGCCTGCAACCTTTCAATCAGTGGCTGAAGAGTCCACAATGTGGATTTCAGCACTGCCACCTTGGAAAGGCCCCCATAGGGAACAGACATTCAGTCATCTATCTGACCAGATTCGAGATGTGATAGAGGAGGTTATTGAAAAATACTGTTATGTCGATCAGCGGGAGGATGATGGTAGCTTCATTCTGAGTCCTCAGTCTATGAGTGAATCCAAAGGCAGTGAAGAATGGGACAATGCAATACAGATGGCTCTGGGAAAGGCAAAGGGTGAAGAAAAAAATTTAGCCGAGTTACTGGAAGTGCATATAAACCTTGAAGACCAAGGATACCAGACTCAGCTGGACACAGCCCTAAACACTGTGGGAACACCTGAGGAAAACAAGGAGAGTTCTGCTGATAAGGTGTTTCTCGATCTTCCCCACATACCACAGTCTTTTGTTGGCAAAACATTGACACAGGTGATGTTTGAAGATGACATGAAGATAGACTCCATAGTGAAAGAGTTCCAACAAGGCCAATTCCGTTGCTATTTTGACAGTGAATCATTAGCTAGGTTTGGGAAGCACATTAAGAAAAGGAGAAAGAAAAAGAATCAGGACAAAAAAGAGAAGGCAGATAATGCTGGGTGGGAGCCTACAGACATCTTGCCACTCATGGATCAAAATGAAGAAGACCCCAAACATTCCGCTATTTTGTTGAAGAAATCTAGGCATAAAATTTACAGACTTGCATCACGTTGCCAAGTGGTAAAGGTAAGCCACAGTACACAGACCATCCCTCTTAGTTGCCCTGTGGTGCGGCGAAAATCATCACAAGAAACATTCCCCTCCACACACAGTGAAGAGCCCCAGCAATGCCCTAGCCCTGAAAGGACCCCTGACATGAAGACCAGACTCTGTGCTTTGAAGCTTCCAGCTTCTTACTGCAAGATAATGAGTCCTCTACAGCCCAAAACTGTGGTCTTTGTGCTTTCTTCCCCAGATGGGGGTCAAGGATTCTCCAAGCCCACCCCTATTAAAAAAGCAGGGAGGAAACGGAAGCCATGTGATAGCGATGTTGGCCTGAAGTACAAATACAAAAAGACACCTCTTAAGTTCTACGACCCTTTGACCAATAGGATCTTAAAGAGTCCACCAAAAGGCATGTCTTTATCCTGTAATTCCAAATCTCTTTCACATGTCCGACAGCTATTCCGTAGCCTTAGTCCGGATATTAATAAGAAGAGGCAGGGCCTGGAGCTGGGGCAGTCATCAGGAGGTTCTCGGAAGGGCCGTGGTAGGAGCAGCATGGTTGATCTGTGTACCTCCACCTCAGACTCTATTCTGGATAGCGGTGGCCCCTCAGAACCTGGTTCTTCTTTGTCTAGCAGCCAAAGAGCCTTATTCACCCGCTCCTCTATCTCAAGTAGCACTTGTTTCCTCCTCGGACATCTCACGCCATCTACCCATGTGGATGATTCTTCCAAAGCACTTTCTCACTCTTGTGCGGGTAGTTCCTATAAGGTTGGAGGACTGGAACAAGAGGAACACCGCCAACAAACACCAGTTGACCAAACACCAATCAGACGTAGCTCACGGAGGGCTGGACCTTTGACTCCAGCCAGGCGACCACCAGTACCCCCTTACAGGACCAAGAGGAAGTCACCCAAACCACAGCGCAAAGCAAAATCACAAGGCAATCTCCAGCAAACTGTTAGCTCCCGTATATCTGCAGAATGTAGGACATCTCCCAGAAACAAGAGCCTTGCTAGGACCTCACTCAGATCATCGGCTTCCTCTAAACTGGCAATTCAGCCGGTTATTACATCCTCTTCTAAACAAATAAATAGAATGCTCAGTGCCAGTCAGCAGAAGAGAGTGAGGGGGAGGACGGCCACTGTGCATATAGCAGACTGAACGTTATCAGACACCAGCCATGAGCATAAGCTGTCTTCTGTTCTTCAAATGCTGTATAGTTTTGCACAGTTGAATTTCAGCTGACTGTTTCTAGTTGAAGTTCTTTTTTGTCTGTATATGTTTGTTTATTTGTCAAATGCATTTTTTTTTACTTGTAATGAGTATATTTTTTAAGTTTATAATGGGTATTTATCTCATAGGTTGATGGTTGTAAATTAAATTTATAATGAATAGTTTTGTCCTTGATAATACATCAAGAGCATGTTTTTCACAATGGGTTTTGGCACTCTATTAAATTGTCTTTAAAAAATAGCAAACCAACAAATGCAAAAAATGCTTAAGTCAGCAATACACAGCCTACACAAAGAGCAAATGTGCTCTTTGGGAATCAGCCATTCATTCTCTCTCACAAACACACAATACAAATGCCTTAATAGGCTTTTTACACTATGTAGTTTAAGTGTGGATTAATGTTTGCTCCCACTGCAGAGATAAAGGTAAATCTTTTTATGTGCATATATTATTGCACTAACACTTTGCCTAATGGTTGTTGAGATCAACGCATTTAAGAAGAGCCCAGCAGCCATGGTGATGGTTGCGATCTTCCATGAAAGTGGCAGAAGCTACAACATTGTTTTTAAAAAGTGAAGTGAGGTTGGTTCATTGTCTTTTCTCTACTATGTGGCTGGAGAAGAAATGAAACAAAGATGTCTCCTGAGTGACCGTGGAAGCCTGAATATAACAGGTCTTTACAAGGTTAACACTTCATATACGTAATAAAACACAATACATACAGTCAAGTATAGGGTCCATATACTAATACTGGAAAAACAATAGCAGATTATATCCCTTAGTGCAAAATCGTAGTGGTGTGGGTTGAAATACATGCAATAGAAAAATACATTTGTATGCAAGGCAGCAATAAGCTTATATACAGATTTAGAAATATAAAATACGTGTGCAAATAGTGACTGGGAAAAAAAATCCGCTTATTTTCTTGACGAAGATACACTTTTAATTAACTGACTAACTAATGTCTTTAATAACCTATAAAAGACCAAAGCTTTTATTTCAGCGCTTGTGGGCTAGTGTATAATCACTCTAGTTGTCTTAATGTATTCTAACCATTGAGAAGTAAATGGTAAATTTCCTATTAGCTAGGATGAGTGTGTTGGCGAGTGTACCAAGTGAGGATGGGTTGACGCGTCAGCGCAGCATAAGATGCACTGCGCAATCGCATTGGCTTCCCTTACGATATGTGCTGCTTGGCCACCGCCTTCCATCCATCCGAGCTGCCACCCCTTCGCCTTCTTCCCAGTCCTCCCTACCCCTCGGCATCCCAACCGTGCTACCCACCCCTCAGTCTCCGATGCTGCATGAAGGATTTCCCCCTCTTCCCGCGGGATACGCACCAAAATCGCTCCCATAATAATGGACTGCGACGCTCGCTCTAAATTGATGCGCTAATGACATTTTATTTAGTCTTCAAATATGAATCATGCGTCTGATATTCCATCTGTGTCTGCTCGCTAGCATATTTATTTCCGTGCCATCTTCTATCGCCTCAACCTCAACGGGTAAGTATAATGTTTATCTTGCGTAACTTTATTATTTACATGATACGTCTTTATTCGATATTTGCTATATGTTACGTTGGTATTAGTGCAAGGTGTTTTTCCAACGCCTTTTGTTGCGGTAGGAAATCCCCGCTAAATACGCAGGTTCTCTGTAGGCTTTGATTGAGCCGCCTCCATTACTTAACTGTGTTTACGGCCGTTTATACGTGTCAATCTATGCAGAGGTGGGTAAAAGCTTTTGAAGGCCTCTGTATGGGTTGACAGCCCCATTAGTATGGTGCTGTACGGGAACATGGTAAGGATTTAGTGAGGCGCACTGAATCTTAATTCGATTACCATGACAATAGATTATTATTAGCTGACATGATGCGCATCTAAAGCTTTTACAATTCAGATATCAGATATCCAGATATGCAGCTGATAAAAGTTGAGAAAAAACAATTTGATATGGGTATGTTTTGCCAATAAGTGTCTCTTATGTCTCTTCTGCCATTACATGTATCATATATCTCATCCTCTCACCCACTGTCTTGAATGTGTGATCAGATTTCAGTGTTTTATTTGGTTATCAGCCGTAGTGCCTCCATTTCGATACCCTGAGATCTGCATAAGGGAGATCTGTGCGCAGCTTCTCTGCAGCATCACAGGGCTGCAACTGCTGGCACACGTTCATATATAATTGACGGGATCCCTCTCTGAGATGGAGACTGTAAAGCAGTAAACAATTTCCTCCTTTCCTGCAGTTTCCAGCTTCGTACAGAATGAGGATCTCAGGGATCAGCAGGTGCCTGAGACCCCGCGAGAAGCGACAGCAGCGGCACCGGGCAATTCCACGGGTAGAAAAACCGGAGAGCACGAGGTCACGGTCACATATCCCTCCCGGCTCATCTACTACTTGAATGAGGAGTCGGAGAGCACGTATCATGACCTGGACACTCGGACGAGGAGCCAGGCCAGTGATGGACAGGTGAGACATGGGCTGTCTTACAGTGTAAAGATCCCCAACACTGCATAATTTAGCCCCCACCAAATTCAGGTCTTCAGGAAGCTGCTTTCTTTCAAACTGCTAGGAGCTGCTGGGAATGGTGCAGTATGTCCAAATTCTCAGAGCTGATCAAGGTTCACCAGCCCTCCCTCACAAATCTAACACACTTTTCGCAAAAGAAGCAGTTTTCACTCCCCCCACTCTCTGTACTGAACAGACGTTGTGGGATTGCATTGTGCACACACTTTCACTTTACTTTTGCCAGTGCAGTATTTTTGCTGTAAAGCAGCACAGCTGTGTGATTTATGTTGCTCTAGAGCGGATGTTTTATCTATCTGCACTTACAGAGATTTGCTTGTTGAGAATATGATTTAATGTGTCTGCAGAAATGAAATTTTCACAAAAAGATTTTTTTGAATAACATTTGCAGGCTTTGCTGGCAGGTTTGATATAGCAACTTATGTTTGTTTTGTGAAGTGTTAATGAGCCCCTGTTTATCTCCCTGACCACAGGATGTCCACCTGGCCCAAGCAAGTTTCCAGCTGGATGCCTTCGGCACCACATTCAATTTGGACCTTACATTGAACAAGTAAGTGTGTGTGTCTGAGTAGCAAAAGACAGATTTGGTTTCAAAAACAAAGAATTGCTCTGTTGTTTAGTTGTGCATTGTTCAAATATCACATTTTTAAAATTGAAAATAGATATTTTTTCCCCTGTTGCATGGTGCATGGGGATTTCTAATTTCGCTAAATTTCATTGTGAGTTTATCGCACAAATTCAGTCCATTCAGTAATCTCCTCCCTGTTTGTCTATTGTCTGTCAGCACCTTTACATTCAAGGTATTTGCTGAAAAGCAAAAAACACTTTGGTTTAAATATCATCCGAACTGTGTGAATGCTGACTAACTTTCAGTTATCAACAAACATTCTTCCAGTAACATTAATAGAATGTTTGTTCAAAGTTATCTGGTCTTTAATAATGTTCTCAAAACGTTAGCACTGTAACATTATGTATTCCTCGCTAATGGAATGTTTTTCTGAAACATTTTAATTGGATGTTCGTCGCACTTTTCTAAATGTTAAAATTGACTAGTTTCAGGTTCAGAGAACATTCAAAAGTAACTTTCCCAGAATGTTTGCAAAATGATCAAATGCAACGTTCCCTTAATGGTTTCTTTAACATTCACATAACCAACATAAATAAATAAAAATAATAAAAATGTAAACATTTAAAAACCTGTATGTTTTGAACATTCAGAGAACATACAGGAATATTGTTTTCATAACTTAATGGGAACATTATAGCAAAACCTTCTTAGAACATAAGTTTGTTAGCTGGGATGTGAGGTGCTAATTGTTTTATGTGGTATCAAGTGTGATATCCCTGTTAATTTACATTTATTTATTTAGCAGATGCTTTTATACAAAGCAAATTCAAATGAGAAACATCACAAACAATTTGTCATATTGCCAACAATATTCTTATCGGGTTTAGTAGAAAGTTAGATTAGGAAACAAGCAAGAGCAAAAGTAAAATGCTGACAAGAAGCTAAAGTATTTTTTTTAGTAGTAAGTGCTTTGGTTGTGCTTAAGTGCTTGTGGAAGAGGTCTGTCTTCAGCTGCTCTTTGAAAGTTGTGATAGTCACAGAAGATGGGGGGCAGGTCAGCAGCTCATATTAAAATAATTGTTATTTATACAAGTTTTGCATACAAGTTTAAAATGAGTATGCACTGCAGCACAGTTTTATATCTGGTGTCATTCAAAATTCAGAAGCATTGTGACACTATTTGATCACAAGTCATCAGTAGTTGCCAAACGTTTTGGCTTCCACATCACGTTAACCAGAAATATCCAATACCAGAGGTCACAGTTTAAAAAGGACGAACATTTTAAATTCTGTCGTCATTTATTCCCCCTTATATCGTTCCAAACATGTATGACTATTTTTCTCTGGTGGAACACAAAAGAATATATTTTGAAAAATGTCTGAGGGTTTTTAGTCCATAAAATAAAATGCAAGGCGGTACAAATTTTATCCCATTAATGTGCACATCATTTCCACTTAGTCTTTTAGAAAATATTTAAACACATTTAAGCCATAAATAAGAATTATTATTGCTGCCCACTTTCTTTTCATTAGATGAATTATATGTTTGAAGTGTCTATTTTTGCAAGCTAAAATGCATTTAGGCTGATTAATTGTCAGCTTGTGACAGCTATAAAAATAGGATCAGTTGCAGCAACAGAAGTGTTTGTGATCATGGGATTAAAAGACTTTTCTGTTTCTGTTTTCTTCAAAAAAATAATGTTTTGGGACATTTGATGGTGAATTACGCTATTGATGCTGTTGTATATACTGTACATATATTTATCACACAACATTCAATTTGCTCTTCAAATACACATTTAATGCATTTTTATGTATATTTACTATGCCTTAACAAATCTATGTGGCAGAATCCCTAAAGATGTGATGCAGCTTCTGTTCCACTAACGTCTCAAAGCTAGAACAGCTGATACAGAAGACAGTGTTCTCCCAATGCATGCTTATTAAGCACATAGGTGCATGGGATCCGGGGCTCTAGATTTATTGTTGTGTTGTTGGATAATTAATGCAAGATTGCCCCTTTGAATTCTCTCTCTCACTTTGATTTTAGTGATCTGCTCTCTTCAGATTATGTGGAAATCCACTACGACAAAGACAAGCCAGTTCTCTCCAGGGTAAGACAGAAAGAGCAGCACACCAATATCAAACAGACCCCTGAAAATAACTACTACATTGCAGTGATGAATGTGCGTTTGTTTAGGGCGGGGAACACTGCTACTACCACGGCCACGTGAGAGGAAAAGAAGACTCCCGTGTAGCTTTATCCACCTGCAACGGGCTTCAGTAAGAAACCTTGTTTTGTTTGTATGTGTGTGAGTGAGATAAAGACAGCGCAGGAGAGAAAATCTGACCTGGAGACCTACTGTGAGGCCAGATGGCAGTTGGTACACATGAAAAGATTTGA